GCTTTACGGTCCAGAGTTTTTATATGGGGCTTCGTTATGTAGGCACGATTGATTAAATCATTGGCTGTGTGACAACTCAATCTCTAGCACCTCCCCCCTCCCTGGAGGTTTTGGGGTCGGGCTGAAAGTTCAAACCCTATAATCACATGGTTGGTTTTTCTGGCAACCACCCTCCATCCTGCAGCTAGCTAAGCCCTCCCTCACCCCCAGTGAGTCACTGCATGAGGATAAACTCAAGTATGGGTGAAAGGGACTCATAAAAGACACTCCTGTCACAGGAAGTTTTAAGGGATTTTGAAGCTCTGTGCCAGGAACTGGGGCATAAAGACCAGGCGTAGTCTTTATTGTAGCACACCCTCCATTAATATTATTTGAAATTGCAATATTTTTACTAGAAACAAGTTGAACAAAGTAACTTTGGAATTTATTTATTGCCTCAGCATTTACCTACTATTTATTCACAGCTCTTTAACTGCTCTTAAGAAAAGCTTGGAGAGGGGGAGTTCCAGGACCTCCAGGAGGTGGGACTAATCTCCCAGATGGCCGTGCCGAAGCTCCAGTAGTAGCCCGGCGTTTGGGCCATGTGAAATCAAGTGAAGTAATTCATTCAGTCTGGTGGACGTGCCAGAGCTCCTTCTCACATTCATATAAAAATCAAGAAAATTTTATTTATTATCCAAGTGTTTTCAAATACATGGTTATTGTGTTCATGTAAATTCACACATGCTGATTAGGTACCTTATATTCGTAACAGTTTGATGTAAGTTATTGGCCCAGGAGCAGTTCAGAGTAGGAAGGGGAGGGCTGTAGTACCCCTGGGATGTCCTTAGGGATGAGGGAGAATTTGAGGTGTCCTTGAGAGACGGTTAGTATTTGGAGAAGTAGAGGGGAGAGAGGGAATAGTGTTTTAGGTGAAGATAAAACAAACCACGTGAGGAGGCAGAACTCATCATGGCTTGTTTATACTTACACAGAGCAGAGTGGCCTATCTGAGCAAATCGTGTACGTGGGGAATACTGGGAAATGAGGTTCCATAGAGGAGCTACGTTAAATTATGTATGATTTTCAAAGGCCGGTAGAATAGTTTCACCTTGAAGTGGTGGGTAATTGAGAGTCAAGGAAGGCTTTTTGATCAGGTGAGCTAGAAAATGAAAAGAATGTGTGAGAAACAGGCTGGGATTTGTATTGTTGATGGATTAATGACAGGAGAGACTGGAGAAACGGGGGAGAAAGCTGGGAACAGGGAGGTGTTTCAGTAAGAGCACCATAGGGAAAAGTGGGAACTGAGAAGAAGGAATGAATATTAAAAATTTTAAAGGAAAATTTGACAGAATTTGAATGCTGAACAGAGGAAGGGTAAGTCAAGATGGCTACAGTTTTTGAATGTTTGTTTTTTATCTGGAATTGTAGAAAGAGTGTTCTTTATTGGTGAAAAATTTATCAAGTCTGTTGGAATATAATCACCATGGAAGTTTAAAAAGGAGGGGAGACCTTGATGAATGGTATCCCCAGCACCTGGAATAGTGCCTGGCGTAGAGAGGTGCTCCAGGAATGTCTGCTGAAGGGGTGCAAGCCTGCGTTTTACATGTCAGTTCCAGTTGCCATCTGTACATTTAGAATATGCCCATTTTTACTTCCAAAAATGACTTTAAAAATAGTACTTGTTGACCTTTTTCTAGTAGCAAAAATTACGTTTACTTTAGAAAATTGGGAAAACATGGAAAAGCACAAAGAAGATACTTGCAATCACATTTTTACTTCAAAGATAACCACTGTTGGTGTATATATGTTCCCAGGGTTTTTTTTTGTTTGTTTTTTTCTATGCAAATACTTTTTTTAAAAAAATAAAATGGGATCATATTGTACATGCTGATTTATGCCTGCATAAATATCATTTTAAAAGTAAATTAGGACGATTTGAGCTTCCAAATAATGACAGATTATAAACCATAGACTAATCCAGGAGACCATGCTAATATGAATCAGAAGGGAAGCTCCTTCTTACAGTAGAATGCAAAACAATGTAGAAGGTTTGATAGAAACAAAATTTTCATGCAAGCATCGTGAATGGCTGCTAAAACCAGTAGGCAGAAGTTTGATGAGAAACAGGATGTTTACATAGTCCCAAAGTATCTCCTCATAAGATACTTATTAATTACAGAAGGAAAAATAATAACTGTATAGTGGAGAAACCTGGCAGACACCACCTCCTTCAAGTGATGACAGCTAACATCACCAGTAATGGCATGTCACTTCTGGGGCATTCCTGCCAAATTCCTGAACTTAATCATGAGATAATATCATACAAACCCAACTGAGGGATATTCTACAAGTTAAATGGCTTGTATTCTTCAAAAAGTTAAGGTCATGAAAGATAAAATAGATTGAGGAACTCTTCCAGATTAGAGGAGACTAAAAAGACATGGTAACCGAATGCAATATTTGACCCTGGACAGAAAAACAAAGAATTTTCTTTTCTATAAAGGATAATAGTGGGACAAACGTGAGATGTGATAAAGCCTATAGATTAGATGATAGTATTGTATTGGTGTGGATTTCTTGATCTTGACAATGCACTTTGTTGTGTTAGAGAAAGATCTTGTTTTTAGGAAACGTGCTCAGGTGCTTAAGCATAAAGGGTCATCATGTCTGCAACTTACTATCAAATGGTTTAAAAAAATTTTTTTTAAAGTATAGGTAACTGTATTTAGAGAGAGTGATAAAGCAAATGTGGTTAAATGTTAACATATGTGGAATTTGGTTAAAGGACAGACCTAACTCCTTTGTACTATTGTTGCAGTTTTTCTGTAAGTCTGAAATTTTCTGAAAATAAGTTAAAAAAAAAAATAAAAATGAGCCAGAGCTGCTGAATTAGGCACCAATGAATCAGCGAGTATTTTACTTAACTTATGTAGTGTTTGTGTATGCGGTGTTTGCTGACTTTAGGGGTCACCATTCCTTTCCTGTATATTTAACTTGTGTTAACAATATTTTTTTGAAGTCTGGCACAAGAGAGAAAGAACACTGGCTTGGCCATCAGGGGGTGAGTTATTCTCTTAGGTGTGCAACTAATCGTTTAGTGAGACGTTGAGAAAAATCACTGTCTCTGAGTCCCAGGTTCTTCATCTGAACATATTTTGGGGGAGCTGGATAAGCTGACATCGATGACTAGGTTCCAGCAGTTCGCTGATGATGGGCTCTGGATTCACTGCCGCGGTCAGAACTCAGTGACGGTGTTGACTGTCAGCTGCTTGGAAAGGCCCACAAAGAACTGTGGAAATCAGAGCTGGGAGATACCTGTTAGACCATCTAATTTGTCCTTCCAGCGTCAGTACTCACTTGGTCACGGCACACCCTCTAAGTTTTGACCAGTACTCTTCTTTCCAGCCATTCTTTATTTTTCCAGAAACTTGGCTTGTGCTTTTAGTTCACCCTTTCTTTTAGTCATTTAAAAAAAGAATGTGACATTTCTTAACTTTAAAATTTTCCAGTTCTTTTATATTTAGACTTTACTTTTGGAAACTGTAATTTGCTAATATGGCAGAGATTAATTAATAGGCAGGTGGACTGTTTTCCTCTAGATGACCAAAGGATTTAGTGCATAAACAGTTGAGTGTCTAGCGGTAGTAATTATATGATCAGAAAGTGATGGGAATGGAAGTCACATTTCAAAATGAAAATTAAGATTTTTAGCTTTGTGCATTAAAAAAAAAATTTTGCTAGGTTAGAAAATGTAACAGAAAAGTTTCTTTTCTCTTACTTACCCTTTAAATATGATACCCTAATAAAGAAACAACGTAAGGATGTACAGAAATAGGTGCTCTGACTTTCTGTTGGTAAGGATGTAAATTGGTCTATATATTTTTTTGGAGGTAATTTAACAATATCTATTAAAAACATGAAAGAGCCCTGGCCATTTTGGCTCAGTGGTTAGAGCATTGGCCTGCAGACTGTAGGGTTGCCGGTTTCATTTCCAGTCAAGGGCATATACCTCGGTTGCAGGTTCGACCCCCAGATCCCTGGCCCCATTTGGGGCACCTGCGGGAGGCGACCAATCGATGTGTCTCTCTCATGTGGATGTTTCTCTCTCTTTCTCCCCCTCCTCTGTCCCTTCTACACTCTGTCTCTAAAAAATCAATGGAAAAAGTATCCTTGGGTGAGGATTTGCTAACTTGAGTCCCACTTCTAGAAATTTAACCTCTAGCAGTGAACATTGTAGCATTGTATATAAAAGTGAAAACTTGAACAGTGTTCATTGTTGTTAGATTATATTAATTATGACACATCATACAATGGATTCTTATACAACTATCAAAAAATAATGTAGGAGGCTTTTTAAATGTTAATATGAAATGGATTTATTGCTATTTTTAAAAATTGTGATAAAATAATACAAAAGATAATTAATATTTTAACCATTTGTAAATGTACAATTCAGGGGCATTAAATACATTCACAATTTTGTGTAACCATCACCACTTTCTAGATCTAAAACTTTTTTTATCATTCAGACTTTTTTATCAGCAAAATTTCTGTATTCATTAAATAATAACTTTCGATTTCTCCCTCCCAGGAGGTTTTTATATAGTGACATGGAATACTGCCCAGATACATAATTAAGTGATAAAGGAAGATTGCAGAATAGTATGAATAGTATGGTTCCATTGTGGTAAATTATATGTTAATGTAAGTGTAGGAAAAATCTGGGAGACTATATTAAACTGTTAATGGGGGGGGGCATTATGGGAGAATTTAACCTTTATAACTTTTGGATTTTTTTGCCAGTCCTTACCTGAGGATACTTTTTCCATTGATTTTTAGAGAGAATGGAAGGGAGGAGGGACAGGAGAGAGAGAGAGAAAGAGAGAGGGGAACATCGATGTGAGAGAGACATTGATTGGTTGTCCCCCACACTTCCCCAGGGCGTCTGGGATCGTACCTGCAACCCAGGTACATACCCTTAACCGAGAATCGAACCTGTGACCCTTCAGTGTGTGGGCCAGTGCTCTAATCACGAAGCAGCACCAGCCAGGGCAGTAATTCTTTGTTTTATACAATGAGTATGTGTAACTTTTCTAAGCAGAAGAAAAAGAGATGTACTTTGAGTATTGTACTAAAACATGGTAATTTGGGTGCCTTTGATTTTAGCTAACAAGTAACAGACTTTCTATGTGGTTGCTGAATTATGAGCTTATGAACCTGAACATGTTATTAAAGTGATGTTTTTCCTTTTCACAGCTAGAGTTGGGAAGACATCACTGATTATGTCTCTGGTCAGTGAAGAATTCCCAGAGGAGGTAAACATTTTGATTTCTATTTTTAAAATGTCTTAAATGTATCAAAATTTAACAAATTTAACAAAATGAAACAAATTCTGCCTTTTTGGCATGTGTTTCCTTTCTGACAGTTGTGACTTTAGAAAAGGCTCATATTATTATACAAGGCATCTCTGAAGTGTTGTGTTGTACAGGAGAAAGAATCACACTAGATCTGAGTTCACCTCCGTCCTTTGCATTTCCTACTTTTTTTTAATCCTCACCTGAGGATATTTTCTGCACTGCTTTTCAGAGAGAGTGGAAGGTGGGAAGAGAGAGACAGAGAGAAACATCAATGTGAGAGAGACACATCAATTGGTTGCTTCCCGTTTGCAGCTGACCAGGGCCCGGGGATGGAACCTGCAACCGAGGCACGTGCCCTTGGCCGGAATCCAACTCAGGACCCTTCAGTCCGTGGGCTGACACTCTTACCATTGAGCCAAACCAGCTAGAGCTGCCTTTTCTACTTTTGACCTTGGCTAGGCTATTTGTCACCTCTATGCCTTATTAGTCTCATATGTAAAATGGGAGCTGAAAGGGATATTAGAGGTCATTAAGCATAAGGCTTATTATGTAGCCAATTAGTTATCTTCTAGGAGAAATGAATTTTGATAATTTATTGTTTTATTTGAGGATTATTTTAGATGAACATAGTTCCTCATTGGTAGAGTATCTTAAGCCTTCAACAAAATAGAATGAAAACAACATATTTTTAAAATCTAATGTTTAAAACACCAAATTGATTTAAGTAATATTTTAGATTGCATCACATCTGAAGTATTCTTATATGTCCTGTGCCCACACAGGTAGAAATGTGCATGTGTGGTTTTTTTAAGTGATTTATCATTATAACTTTAATATATATTTGCCATCTGTAGTAAAGCACAAAAAATAAGCATCTAAAAGTACAATAAATGCTTATAAGAATATGTATGGATGAAAGGGGCTAATATATAGATATATTTACATAATCTATTAACAAGTTTGATTGATAATATCCAAAAGGTTTTTTTCTTTTCTATATTTATTTTCAAATGAAGGTTCCTCCCCGGGCAGAAGAAATCACCATTCCAGCCGATGTCACCCCTGAGAGAGTTCCAACACATATTGTAGATTACTCAGGTAATGAATGACCTATTGACCTATTGCAGTGAAGCTGTAGGGTTAATTCAATAGTCCTGGAAAAAGGTACTTACTGAATTTTAAAAAATAAACAAGGGCGGTCCTTTTTCTCTAGCAGTAAATAATCATTTACTATTCTTATCTCATATCTTCTGGCCAGCCCCCATGCCAGACCCACCCAAAGCCTCGATCTTACAGTCCTCTGTCCCTAGTTTATTAGGCTGGGTTCCATAATAATGAAAAGGAGGGAGGAATGGTAAATGACAAGAAGTAGATAAATCATTACCCTCCTTGAATTGACATGTGTGCATAGAGAAGTTCTGGGTTCATTGGTTATCAGGCATGCCCTGGTGATTTGGAAAGAGTTCTGAATTTGAGAATTTGTTGAATTCTAAATTTGTTCTTTAATTTCTCATTCTTTGTACCAAATAAAATAATAATTAAAACAGTTGTTAGCTTGCTTACATTATATGATAATAGAAGCACATCTGTATTGCTTTTAATAATTTAAATTTTTTCTACACACTGCTGCTTGCTTTTTAATCATTAAATTATTTTGCTTTGTTCTGGGACTTATTTTTTTTAAAGAGTCAGTTGTAACATACATCACTCTGATGAGTGATGTTGACATGGGGGAAGCTTTGTGAAGGCAGGAGGCATATGGGAAATCTCTATATCCTTTACTCAGTTTTTCTGTGAACCTAAAACTGGTCTAAACAATAAAATCTGTTCTTTAAAATGGGTATAACTACATTGGTAATACTTCATTTTGCTAAACTGGTATCCCATAGAATGTACAAAAGAAATATCAGTACTGTGCAGTCTGAAACATGTGACTATTTGAACACTTGAAGTGTGCCCTAAGTGTATAAGACAGTGAATTTAGAAGACTTAGTATGAAACATGAATGTAAAATAGCTCATTAGTCATTTTTCTGAGTGTATATTGAAATTTTAATATTTTTGACATTTGAGGTTAAATAAAAGAGTAATTTTACCTGTTCTTTTTTAGTTTTCTTAAGGTGACTACTAGAAAATTAAAAATTACATACATATGCTTGCACTATATTTCTGCTGGACAGCACTGTACTGTATTAGAAGCTGAGAGAGGTTAGATGCTTTCTGCTAGTCTCATACTTAGTTTTATTTATAGGATTATTATTTTTTAATATGTGTAGCCATATAATTAGATTCACTCCAGTATTAGAATTGGAACCTTAACCCATTGATTTCTCAACATATGAAAAGGTATTAAAAATGGCTGATTATTTAGCATAATATAAAGTCCATTTGACTCATTTATGACATTAGTTTATATGTCAGAAATAATAGGCATTTGGTGGGGGCATTTAATGTAAGATGATCTGAACTAATATGTCCGTAATGGCTTTTCTCTTCATTTGTGTGCTTCGTCCTACCTATATCATGCATATCTTGTGTACCTTGGCGTTATAGACACATCCGCCCAGTGAGACCAGTTCTGGCCAGAGAGACGTGCCAGGGAGGAGTTCTGGACTCATCATGACCATGCTCTAATTTTCCTTCTGGGGCCTGGTTACTATTACTCATATCTGCTATCTCGATTTCTGGCTTGTATTGCTCAGATTCTCATGTGGCCTTTTAACCTTGTGTGGATAGACTCTTTGTCTGGGTTTCTGACTTTTCAGCACCCAGTCTTCTAGCTTGGGTTTCTGATCTCTTTTGCCTGACCCTTCACAACTCTGGGTCAGATGCCGGCCTAGATTTATAACACAATGCCTTCTGCTCTTCTGTGCCTGAGTTATCCTCTTGTCAAGTTGTCTTTCAGTGCCAGCCAGCTTCCTTATCTCCCTTCCCCTGGCTTGCCCTATCTCTGCCACCGAGTCTGGCACTATACCAGGACATGAGGGATGAGGGATGTTTGGAGGGATATTAGATGGGTGTTACATAGACTTTGGCTGTCAGTTTTTACAGATGTGTAAAATATGAAACTTTTTTGTCATTTGTAGAAGCAGAACAGAGTGATGAACAACTTCATCAAGAAATATCACAGGTGAGTTAAAAACTAGTTGAAAGTTTTTTGTGGGAAAACAGTGATGATTCTAAGTCTGCTTTTTTAATTCTCTCACTTATTTCGTTGTCATTGCTGATTTTCAGTATGTATTTTTGCTGTAAGTCCTTAGGAACCTTTTCCTCTTAGAGGCATGCTAAGTTTTTCTTATTATTATAAAAATATTATTAATTTGTTAATTTTTCTTGTAGGCTAATGTCATCTGCATAGTTTATGCAGTTAACAACAAGCATTCTATTGATAAGGTATGACTGACTTTTTTTCACTATACTTAGATTTCAGTGGGGGCACTTGCAAAATTGATCCTCAATTTAGAATTTTTAGGGGTCTAAGGGTCAGGTGTTTTTCAAAGAAGCTCCTCATATGGCTTAGCTCTTGTTAATTTTTATTTTAGGTAACAAGTCGATGGATTCCTCTCATAAATGAAAGAACAGACAAAGACAGCAGGTACTTTTTTCTCTTAAACTTTGTATGTTGAAAAATTTCAAACTTACAGAAAAGTGGCAGAAAGTACTACAGTGAACATCTGTAAACCCTTCGCTTAAGTCTTGCAGTTGTTAACATTTTGCCACATTTGCCTTATCTATGGGTCTATCTCTGTCTGCATACACAGTCTTTGGGAGAAATTATTAGAAGCAGCACAAATATTTGAGAGCAAAGCATAGAATAGAGCTCTGATATTGCGGTGATTCACAATCTCCGACATTAAATATTTTGATGGTTAATCTTGCATTTCTCTTTCTCAAACCACTGCTTGAAAAGTCTCAGCTCTAGAATTCCTCTTCACCTGCACTGTAGGTGGCCTCTCACTTAGATGCCCCTTTGATGAGGAATGGCATTCTCCCTTGTCATTGATTGTGCATCGTGTGGTGTATATAAGAGCACAGGACTTGGAGGAAAGTGAACGACCTTTGAAATCTGTTTTGGCCGCTTATGAGCTTAAAGACTTTGGCTTCATCGAGCCTGTTTCCTCAGCTGTAAGCAGAGATGAGGATAATACCTGTTGTGGTTATTTTAAGAACCCTGTGAAATAATGCATGTGTGTGTGCTTTATAATTTCTCTGGAAAACTCTAGGGATCTTCACTTAGGAATTTATGCAGGGAGATTTCTTTTAAATTCTTTGGAAGATATGTACAGGGTGTCCCCCCAAAATATATACACACTTTAATAGCTGATAGCTCAATTTTGAAAACAAAATCTATTTTAATAAGCACTGCTTTTATAATTATTCAAACTGTGTGTATATATTTTTAGGGGACACCATATATATGTGTTTATATATATATGACAGGAAAAAGCAAGAGAACACATGTTTTTGTATTTTTCTGAGCAGAATGGTAGTTTTCAGTATATATGCTTAGAGTTTTAAGTCAAAATGGAAACAAAACATTTTTCTTGCAGCGTTGTGTAATTGAACATGTTATTTATGAAGCATTTGAGTCTTTTTAAATGTTAGGAAAGCAGACTAATATCTATGTATTGTACACATCTGGTCCTTTACTTAATTTTTTTAGTTGGCATTTTTGTGCCTTGAAACCTAAAGATCTTGTTCTAAACAGATGAATGTGGTTACTGTCCCTGACTCACATATTTACTGTGACTGAGATGGTATTGTATATGCTGTGCCTTGCAGCTCTGATGGCTCCCCTTTGGTTTTAAATTTTGTAGTGACTTACTGTCAAGGTGGAAAGAACAGAATGACCCCCTAGAGCTACACTGTCCAGTGCAATAACCTCTAGTCAGTTGTGGCAATTTAACATTAAATTAAGTGAAATGAAATAAAACTAGAAATTCAGTTTCTTGAACACACTTAGCTACATTTCAGGTGCTCAGTAGCTATTTGTGCTAGTGATTACAGTAATGGATAGTATACATAAAGAACATTTCCTTCGCCACAGGAAAGTGTATTAGTCAGGGCTGCCTTGGAGGACCCTACTCCTGTATGCTCCTGACACCTGATCGTCTTGCTAATTACTTAAGCTGTTTCCAAGAGGGACTCTTCAGAGAAGGCAGTTTTGCCAGAATCTATCAAGCACCAGCTTGGACCACGGAATTGTTAAAATTTGGCTTAACTATGACAGCTTCCTAAAATGCTGTGGTTACTTTTGTGGCCCTTTGAGTCTCATTGGAAAGTGGCTTTGAACATTTGAAGATCTAATTAGCTTCCTGTGTGTGGCTACATTTTTCCCCTCCTGAATCATATGTGCATACTTACTTTCCTTGTGGCCGACTTGTCCCAGGTGGTCTGTTTCTTTATGATGATGTGGCCTTTACATTTTTCAGTGCCTTGCTTCCTTAAGTTTATATTTGTTACTCATGTATTTTTCCTTAGGACTTCCTTGGACCATTGTTACAGTGTTTTTAAAATTTTTTTCATTAATGTATAGGCCTCCAATATTATATTTGTTTTTAGGTTTATATCACAGTGATAAAAAATTTATATACCTTATGATGTGATCGCCACGCTAAGTCTAGTATCCATCTGTCACCACGCAGTTATTACACTATTATTGACTACATTCCCTGTGCTGTACACTGCATCTCCGTGGTTGATTTATTTTATAACTGGAATTTTGTACCTCTCATTCCCCTTCACCTTTTTCACCTGTCCCCCTATCCCTTTATTACATTTGTTTTAATTAGGGGTGTCATCACTGTCATGTGAGGTACTTTAAAAAATATATACATGCCTTTGCCCCAGCCCTGGAGTTGAAGAATTAGTAGGTTCAGAGTAGGGCTTGGAAATGTAGATATTTCTTAAGCTCCCTAAATTATTCTGAGCACACCGTTAGTTGCAAACCACTACATATTTGGAACCCCTTCTTGCCGTGTTAGGAATCTATATTTGGGTTATATATTCCTTTTAGGCATAACTACACTAAGGGGGTAAATAAATACTTGCAAGTCTTCCTATTGCAGTCTGGAGTTCCATCAAAAATAGCAGTTTTCCACTAGGCTAGTTCTCCTCGGTGTCCCCATTTAGATTTCTGATAGGTCTGTCAGATTTAACTTGTCTGAAACAAAATCCTTAATTCCCTGCCTGCTTCCTCTCCCCCCCCAAAAAACCTTTCAGTCTTTTCTGTCTCAGATCTATTCATTTTATCTAGCTACAAACCTGTGTGTGTCTTTTTTGTTGTTGTTGTGTTTTAAATATATCTCTGTTGATTTCAGAGAGAGGAAGGGAGAGGGAGAGAAAGAGAAACATTAATGATGACAGTCATTGATTGGCTGCCTCCTGCACACCCCTGGCTGGGGATTGAGCCGCAACCCAGGCATGTGCCCTGACCGGGAATTGAACCCTGATCGCTTGGATCCTAGGTTGATGCTCAACCGCTGAGCCACGCCCAGCCGGGCCTGTGTATTTGTGTGTGTGTGTGTGTATGTGTGTGCGCCTTTCCTTCAACCTCCGTATCTAATCTATGAGCTGTATCATACCGTATCACCCCGTAAGTATTTCACTATGTATCTCTAAAGATAACAAAATGACTGCACTTTAAAAGGTCCATCAGATCCCGTCATTACCCCAGGAGCTTCCCATTTTACATTTACAATAAAACCTATGCTCCTTACTCTGTCTCTAAGTCCTTACGTGTCTGATCTTTTCTCCTCTCTCCAACCCCATTTCATACCTCTTCTATTTTGCTCAGGACTCTCCAGCCACTGTCTCATTTCTTTGTTCTTTGAACTAGTCAGGATGGTTCTTCAGTTTGGGGCCTTTTCACGGGCCGCCCCTTCTTGCCAGCTGCTCTTCCCTGGCTCCTCCAGTGGCAGAGCCCACTCCATCCTTCCCTCCCTGCTCAGGTGCCACCTTGTCAGAGAGACTTCCCCCGATTATCACCTATAATTCGTTCCCTCTCATTCCTCTATCCCATATCCCCCTGTTTATTTTCTTCATAGCACTTACAGGATTGGAAATGGTCTTACTTATTTGTTTGCTTGTTGTCTGTTTCCTGATTTTCACAACTGGAATGGGGAGGGGCTTTGTCTGCCTCACGTCCTTATGCCGGGAGCAGGACCTGACTGATAATATTTGTTGAATATGCTCTCTAGTGGGCTTGAGCTGACTACAGTAGAGGGTTCATACTGGGGAAGTTAAGTAAAGCTTATTAGAATGGGTAACGATGTGTATTAAAGCATAAAGCTAACGTTTTTGCCTTCTTTTTACAACATGCCCCGTTTGTTTCAGGCTGCCTTTGATACTGGTTGGGAACAAATCTGATCTAGTGGAGTACAGTAGTATGGAGACCATCCTTCCTATTATGAACCAGTACACCGAAATAGAAACCTGTGTGGAGGTAAGCCTGATGGGGTGTGGAAATTTACTGTTGGCGAATTCTCACGAAACTGAGGTTGGGAATAGGAGGCAGGGGAGATGTGGGATGGAATAAATTTCTTGCTGTTTGAGGAGTCATGTAAACCAAATAAAACAGAGAACTTGAAGTTGGCCTCTGAGCTCTTTGTGGTTATTGGCCATCTTGTGATATCCACTAAGAAAAATGCAATTTTTCATTTTCTTCAAAGAATCTTATTACCTTATATTGATAGCTTTAAAATTGTTTTTTTAGCTCTCATAATTGCTTTCAGAGTGTAAAATTTTAAACTTTTTTTTTTAGTGTTCAGCAAAAAACCTGAAGAACATATCAGAGCTCTTTTATTATGCACAGAAAGCTGTTCTTCATCCTACAGGGCCCTTGTACTGCCCAGAGGAGAAAGAGGTAAACCCCTTTACTCCCCAGTGTGTGTTAGTAGGGGCTGGAATGTATAGGTAGTAACTCTTAAGTATTGTTGTAAACTTCTGAAATTTAAATTTATTGCTTATCATTACTTACATTTTCTAGATACTTTTCTTCAAAGATATTCACATTAAGTACTCAGAAAAGTATTCCAGGTCAAGTGCTACTTCAGGAAATGACATTAAAACAAACAGAAGAACCCTGGTTTTGCTCAGTGGTTAGAGTGTCGACCCGTGGACGGAAGGGCCGAGGGTTCGATTCCTGGTCAAGGGCACGTTTTGATTTGCGTTTTCCTGATGGTTAATGATATTGTTCAGTTTTTCATGTGGTATTGGCCATTTGTATACCTTCTTTGGAGGAATGTCTGTTTAAGTCTTTTGCCTGTTTCTTGAGATATTTGCCTTTTTACTGTTTGAAGTTTTTAAGAAATATAAAGTTGTAGATTTTTTTCAGGAAAAGTGTATAGTATAGGTAAGTGCTTAGCTGACTTTGACCCATGGCCAAATTTGGCCTGCCACTTGTATTTTGTATAGCCTATGAGCTAAGAATGCATTTTACATTTTTAAATGATCACCAAAAAAAAAATCAAAAGGAGTGATATTTTTTCATATGAGAAAATTATATGACATTTAGAATTCATCATTCACAAATAAAGTTTTATTGCAATGCAGCCATGCTCATTCCTTTATGCTTGTCTGCGGCTGCTTTCCTGCCACAAAGGCAGAGGTGAGTAGCTGCAGCAGAGCTCGTGTGCGGGGCTCATTCACTCCTCAGTGCTGCTGGGTGCTCTGCTCATCGCACTGACACAGCAGTACCTCGCCAGTATTTCAGTGCCACGTGTATCACTGTACTGTGACGTTGTATTTTGTTACCAGTGCTTTACCTATCATGTCAAAACAAGAAAAGGGAAAAGCTGATTTTTAGTTGGCAAAGCAGTTACGTATGTTCTAAGCTCAAATTACAATTCCAGCATCGAGTTGTTTTTTTGGACTTCAGTGCAAGTGCAAAGGAAATTTACATGTTTCATACTCCATTTGACTATGCTGTTGAAGAGCTTCCACCCAGCCTTCAGTTGGAGCTCATCAATCTGCTATGTACATGCTAACAGGCGAAAATCAAGAAAAGAATCCAATATAATTCTGTAAACGCTTTCCAAGCAGTGAATGTGCCCAGTTCACATTATATATTATATAGATATGTGTCAGTATTGGCAGTATATGACTGCAAAAAGACATATTTCAAAGACAAAATATGTAAAATCTTACAGATCAGTGTTAACAGATAAACATTTGCAATCAATTTTTATGATAGGGAACACTAATTTTGAACCCTAATTTAGCAAAATGTTAACTGTCTAAGAAGACTTTCATTCTTCTTGTAATAGACCTGTATAGCAAATTTATACTCATTTACTATTATATTTTTAATTTTATCAATGAAACTTTGTGGAAACTTGATTCTCTTGCTATATAAGTACCTCCATGACATTCTTGGTTTTGCCTGTTGATTATTTGCTTTGTGGACCTTTACAGAAAAAGTGCTGACCTCTGGTATAAGTAATTAATCTGAGTTATCCCTTAATCTGACCCTGATTTACTTTTCCTTAATCCTGGTTTACTGTTCCTTAATTGGCATGCTTCTTTCTAATTTACTCTTAATCCAGAATTTCGCAAATTCGCCTCAAAGTAGTCACCAGGCGTACTTGTTAAAAACAAATTGCATTCTGACTCAGCCAGGTGCTGTATCTTATGGTCAAGGAAATTTGGGAAACGGTCTCATACTACAGATTTGCCTCTGAGGCCTTAGCCTAGTGATACATTAAATCGCCTCCAGTAGTTTGTTCTCAGTTCTTTAATTGCTGCTTTTTTTCTTAGGCCTATTATTAGCTCTGCTAATCCTCCCCCCCTCCGCAATCCCTATCCCCTGAATAAAATACCACCATCTGTTATTCATGTCGTAGGTGGACCTGCTTGAAGTAAAATCTGCAACTTTAGAGACTATTCCTTGTTTTACACAAGAACAAGCTTTGAGTCTAGGCTTATACCAGAAACTTTTATTTAAACAACATTAATAAGCTTTTAACACAGATTGGAATCATGGAAAAGGTCACATTAAAAATTAAAACCTGGACGTGGCCAGTGTGGCTTAGTTGGTTGAGCGTAGTCCTGTGCACCAAAAGGTTGCCCCTTCCATTCCCGGTCAGGGCACATACCTGGGTTTCGGGCTCGATCCCCAGTAGGGGGTGTGCAGGAGGCAGATGATTGATGTTTCTGTCTCACATTGATGTTTTTATCTCTCTTTCTCTCTCTCCCTCTCTCCAAAATCAATACAAAAATTAAATAAATGTAGCTTTTTATAATATGAGGAAAAACCGCTTGCACAAAATAAAGTTATTTTTAAGTTCTGTTTTTTATTTCTTTCTAGCTATTGCTACTTTTTGAAACATTTAGGTTATTATATAACACTTTTAAAAGGAGAGGAAATAACCTATAACAATGTACTCTTTATTTATTAACCTTGAATATCTAGTATTAGGATCACATTAATAGAAGCAATATCTTACCATTCTTTATTTTTTAAAAATTCACCCATAATTGTAGATGTTATATGTGATTGTCCATTTAGTATTCTTTTATAAAGGAATCTCTATTCAGTGCTTTCTAACTGTTTGACTCTTTTTTTTCTCAGTTCTTTCTAATCTCTTTATATCTTAGGTTTTATCTTTTTCTCACTATATCAAAGTGCTCTCTTAGAGATCCCTTTTAAAACGAAAAGGATTGTGTATGTTTGGGAAAATAACTTTCCTATTTTTCAAAGAATATATTTTCTGCAGTTGAGGGTAGTGTGTGTGTGTGAGAGAGAGAGAGAGAGTGTGTTTGCATTTGAATTTGATAGCATAACCAGATCTCATCATTACTGTCTGCTCTGGATAGCCGCATCACTGAAGTTAATAAGTACACATTTCCTCACCTTGCCATATAGTTTCTGTGATTCAGATATGTCCGTAAGAGATCTACTTCCAAGTCTACACAGTGTTCAGAGATCTTCCTGAAAATTTTATTTTCTCAAAATTGTTGACAGGGATTATCCTATAGCAGTTATACAAATTAGAAGCTTGTGGGTCTTATTTTAAAGTCAAATGTTCTATTCATTATAAATCCTAAAATAGGGTGGAACAGGTCATTGGGGAGAAAAAGGGACATCTGTAATATTTTAAACAGAAAAAAAAAAAAAAAAATCCTAAAATAGCCCGGCCGGGCGTGGCTCAGTGGTTGAGCATAGACCTAGGATCCAGGAGATCTCGATTCCCAATCAGAGCACATGCCCTGGTTGTGGGCTCGATCAATGACTCTCTCATCATTGATGTTTCAACTCTCTCTCCCTCTCCCTTCCTCACTCTGAAATCAATAAAGATATATTTTAAAATAAAAATAAATAAATAAAAAATCCTAAAACAAATATTATGAAGTTGTCAAAATATATTTCCAGCTGCATTACTTACAAAAGTTGTAGAGTCGCCAAGGCAGGATTCTTTTTTTAATGTGAGTAATTTCATCTGATAATAGAAAGTAGTGAAAGGCTTTTACACTTACCAGTCAGGGCTGTTTTGCCATCTGCTTGCAAATAAGCACGTTTTATGTCCCAGCTTTGACAGACACACACAAGTGACAGATCAAAACATTTAGCCCCATTCTGCTACCAGGAGGTTGATGGTCAGAAATTAGCAGTTATCATTCCTCAATAAAGCTGAATTTTTTTTAAAAAAATGAGAAGTTGGGAAGGAAAGCCCTAAGTAGTTTTATAGATCCACTGAAATGCTTTATTAAATGTGGGAGGGCATAAATAAATATTTCTTCATATGGCTGGAAGAATGAATCTTCTCTAATGATGGCGTTCTTTTTTGCCTGTCCTTGGAGGATTTGTGGTCAGAGGGGAGAGTTTGACCATTCCAAATATTGGTCTTCATTTACTTAAAAAGGTTTGAGTATAAAAGTAAATGGCTTTGCTTTAGTTCACTTTTCGTGTTGATTGTGTTTGGTGTTACGTATTTGACAAAGAACAATCAGAATTATTCTTAGCCTTATGAAAACCATATTTAGAAATCCCAACTATTTTAATTCAAACAGTTGTTTTTTTTCTCAATGATTTATAGATGAAACCAGCCTGTATAAAAGCCCTTACTCGTATATTTAAAATATCTGATCAAGACAACGATGGCACCCTCAATGATGCTGAGCTGAACTTCTTTCAGGTAGCCCTCTTTTTCTGATATTTGCATATCTTGGTGTTTTGTTTTTTCGGTGGGGCGGTGGAGCTGAGGAAAGCTGTAAGAATTTATTAGCTTAAACAATGATATGTTAGTAAACTTGAGTCTCTTTCATGTAAAACTGTCTTTCACATCAAGCTATTTAAGTCTTTGCCTAGGGTCTAAAATTCTCTTATACATAGGAATCAAGGAGACTCTGGTAGTGTTATTTCATGGTACACAGTGGGTGTATTAAGGATGACTCGAAGTCTGAACTCTGAATTATTTTTTTCTTGGTTTTGTATAACATAGCTTCACAAAGAGCCTGTGTTTTAGAAATGTGATGGGGAGCATAGGGAAAGTTTCTTTCCTCCTAAGTATTTCATGTTTTACATAAATAATATAAGGCAGAGGCTATCCTAATTTAGAATTTGTTTCTTTTGATTGCAGCTCATTGATTTAATATTTCTTTGTAGATTAATGTTTTTATATATTATCTGGTTTTAATGCTGATTTTTAATGTTTTTTTGCTAGAGAATTTGTTTCAACACTCCTTTAGCTCCTCAGGCTCTGGAAGATGTCAAGAATGTAGTCAGAAAACATATAAGTGATGGCGTGGCTGACAGTGGATTGACACTGAAAGGTGGGTGAATGATGTTTTTCCCCCTTTTGAACTTAATAGTTTCAAAATTTGGCATAAGGTGAAGGTCTTTCTAGCATTATTTATACTTTTAGGAAATGTTTGTCTTTACTCATATGCCTAAAATCTAACTTGGATATGTAGGAGTTGGAAGAGACAGGCAGTTTGGTGGGGATAGTTATCTTTACTGTCAGCATAAATTAGAGGTGGGGAAATTGGTTGGTTCTCAGGAATGCAGAGGTCCATCAGAAGGAAAAAGGATTTCTGGAACAAATTATGAATTGTTCTGACTCATAAGCTTCCTTGAAGTAGAAATTGGTTTTAGGGAAAACATTTTGTCTGTCAGTCAGGCTTACCAAGTACATGTTACCTGTAGATGTGTGCTGGAACCACAGTAAAGTACGAAATGAAACTGAAAACCAGAAACTTTCATTATAAAACACCAAGACCTATAAAACAATTTCCTTTGTTTTTATTGTATAACTTCCGTTTCCTTGGGATATGTTTTTGGCCCTTTTGCCCAGTGCCATCTCTCGCTGACCTGGGTGTCTGTGTGAAATGACTCTGAAATCAGCTCTGTTTTCATTGAGACATTTGTGAATTTTGTTTTGATTTGACCTTCTAATCAGCAAAACTAGCAAGCGCAGGCTCGGGAGTGTAGCGCCTGCCATTACGTTACGTGCTTTTCTCCCATGTGACTTTGTGTCCTTTCTCGCATCAGCTGTATTTACTGATTCATTTTATTTCAGGTTTTCTTTTTTTACATACGCTTTTTATCCAGAGAGGGAGACATGAAACTACTTGGACCGTGCTTCGACGGTTTGGTTACGGTGATGATCTGGATTTGGCGCCTGAGTATTTGTTCCCCTTGTATGTACCTTTGGCTTTCTCGTTGATTTCACTTGCTAAGTACTTTAAAAGTTTTATTTAGCACATAGGTAGGTAGGCTTTGGGGTACTCAGGAATAATTTAGATTTATAGAGAGGTTTATACCAGGGTTTCTCAACCTCAGCTCTATTGACATTTTGGCCTGGATAATTCTTTGCTGTAGAGTCTGTCCCGTGCATTATAGGATGCTTAGCACATCCTTAGATGCCAGTAACACCTCCTCCCCCATCTGTGACGACCATAAATGTCTAGCATCTCTAGAAATCGACAGATGTTCCCTCAGGAGTGAAATCATCCCCAGTGGAGAGTCACCGATTTCTAGAATGACTCAGACTTTTCTTTTTCTTACGGAGAACACAAGTATTTTTTAAAAATGCATTTTACTGATGAAGATAAAAGATGCTAGGCAAACTGTGTTTGAAGTCAAGAGATGAGGAGTATATTGGTTAGCTTTTTTTTTTTTTTCCATTGGTCCTTCCTCCTTCCTAAGGTTTATAGCCTGTTCTTAGCTCAGGATAAAATAAGTAGTTTTCCTAAACAACCAGTCTATTTGTGGTTATTTTCCTTTAGATAACGCTATGTTTACATTCTGTTTGTTTAAAAATGGGCCCAGTGTCACCCAGAAACAGGAGACTGCCTTGCTGTAGGATGCCGCCCCTGTGCAGGGAAGTGACGCCCCAAGGCCTGGCTTCAAGGCTTCGGCCTTTCTTTACTTCTTCAGCAGCATGTCATCTTCATGCTGTCCTTTCTCATTTTAGCACAGCACTCCTAGATATCTCTGTAAGGGTTCAGGAAGACTGTTGTTTTTCTCTTCCCCCATCATTGAGGAAACAAAGTTCTTTCTGGTTGGATTCCTGGTCCATTAATCAGTTCTGACTTGAAACCCCTCTCGTCAAAGTTATTAAATCTGGCTCAAGTAATTTTCCGGGTTTTTCAATAAATCTGTATTGAATGAATGAATGAATCTCCCCCAGGACCTTTTTGTCAAGTTCTTTCCTGTGCCATTTACGTGGGTAGATAAATTCTACAAGGGGCTGCTTATTGCTTTCCTGAGTATGACAGAGAGGAAACCCTACCTCTTACGGCTTTATGGCTTACACTGTTACCTCTTTCTATTTCTTTATGTTCTCTGCCTTGAATTTTCTGCAAAATAGCCTCTTAGAACCACCACTTGAATCTTTCTAGCTTTTTTATTAAACTCTCCTCCTCTGTCCTTCACTCTGTTGCTAGATTAATAGACATACAAATACAGATTTGGCCATGGCACTTCCCTTCAAGACAGGATAAAGCCCAAGCTTCTTAACATGGTACATGAGGTCATTCATGATCTGCTCATGCTCACTCTCTGCCTTCATTCTAGAAGCAAACACGAAACTATTTATAGTCCACCAATCATGTTTTCTACTCAAGGCTTTTGCCCACGGTATTTTCACTCTCCTTCCCCCTCCCCTTAACCTAATTAATGCCTTTTATCCTTCAAGTCTCAATTCAGGTGACAATGTCTTATAGCAGTGCTGACACCTTCCCACCCCCAGGCCAGAGATGTTCCATTTCATGTGGGCTCCTGGAGAATCTTTAGCTCATCCATACTCGGTACTTGGCTCATTGTGTTGAGATAGTGAGGTTATCTGTTTGTAGTCCATCTCCCACTTGAATGTGGTTTCTTGGAGGGAGGAAGCCTGTCTTGTTTTTGTGTCCCTAGTACTTAGCTCAGTGCATTTGGACTAAATTTAGGGTGCGTCCAAAAGGTCAAATCAGCAGAAATAACATCTCTTTACATCATTTTGAATTCATTACAATGTTTACATACTTTACAATTTGTTTATATAGAAGGAACAACCCGTTATGGTATAGTCAGTATTATTTGTAAAATATTTTATTTCAACCTGCCCTTCAGATATTTAAGAACACTTTACATATCAACTCTGAATGAGCATTATTTTGACCCCTGAGGACTGCCATGCCACTCTAGTGACTTTCCTGGGAAAGTCTAAATGGCCCCAGCAAAGATGTTTTGTTAATGGTGTTATCACACAAAAAGACTTGTTGCAGTTTTATATTCATTCTTAAATTAAATTTTAATATTTGATTAATAATTTGTTTTACTCTTACATTTTTTCATCAACAGGCTAAAAATACCTCCTGATTGCACTACTGAATTAAATCATCATGCATATTTGTTTCTCCAAAGCACCTTTGACAAGCATGATTTGGTAAGCTCTTAGCTGTAATTTTGCATGATAAAATATTTTTCAATGAGTGATTTAACTCTGTTCCCTTAGCTATGGGGTCCTCATGTCACACAGCCAAAAATTACTTAAACTCTCTTAAGTTAAACTAGCAAAAATGCTTCCTTTTATTTATTTACTTGTATTGTTTTCTGAAGGTGAAAAAGTCTAGAAAAACTAGACTTTCTCTAGATGAAAAGTCTAGTTTCTATAGATTCTTCCATAAGTTTTCATATATACATGTAAGAAATTTTCTTGATAACATGTAAAATTTCTTTTCATGTGTTAGTTTTTAGAAGCATAGCTTTACTAGACTAGAGGGCTTTTGTGTTTAGGAATTATTTTCTTAGCTTTCTAAATTTATGCATACTTCCTTGTGTATCTTCAGGATAGAGACTGTGCTTTGTCACCTGATGAGCTTAAAGATTTGTTTAAAGTTTTCCCTTACATACCTTGGGGACCAGATGTGAATAACACAGTTTGTACGAATGAAAGAGGCTGGATAACCTACCAGGGATTTCTTTCCCAGTGGACGTGAGTATAGAGCTCACCTGCTTCCTTTAGAATTACCACTAGTTTAAAATTATGGTGTAGCACATTCATCATTTTGTAAGTTTTTCAGATTTTATGGAGTGTTTTAATCATAGTAAGAAGGATTCGTAGTGCTGTTATCCCTCAGGTGAACTTTAGTGTTCTATAAATTTATCAGGAAGGGATCTGTTTGCTTTTGAATGATGTTCAGGGGAACAGTAATAAGTCTTACATCAAAAGTGAGCTAAACTTTAATCCTTTTTTGATTAAGGGAATTGGAAACATCATTATTATTGCACAATTCATCATTACTATTGCACCTTCAGAATATGAGGAGAGCATATTTTACTTGTCACTGAAGACTAAATTTAAGGTTTTTGTTGTTGTTTGTTTTTAATGCACTCCTAGTGAGTGTTTGTCTACAGTCTGGGTACAGCCTGGGTGATATTGTATCTAGGGTGCTAAGGAAATCCTGTGGTTGTGTATGATGACATAATTACTTTAGTATTGGTGAGATTAACTTTCTTAACACCAGAACCTATTTTTTTTTCAAATCATAAAAAGGCTAACTAATTTCAAGTACCTTTCAGTTATTTTTGCTCCTTTAACAAACCTTTTCACATTTAATTATCATTAAATTCTCAACTAGCCAGTATTTGCAGTATACTCTGTAACTTGGGAAGTAATTATATTTAAAAAATCCCTGCTTTAGATTTTACCAGCAGCTCACTGCTCACCTATGTGGCCTTGCTCTGTCTGGGCAGGTGGAATAGATGCAGGAATCCCCCCACATCTTGCATTCCCCTCCCTTCTGTGCCTTAAGAATGGCACTGTAGGAAAAACCACGGTAGGGCACATGGGAAATTAAAGCAGTCTGACAAAACTTATCTGGATCTGGTGCTAAAATTATTTGAGCTGTTGGAATTTTTTTTCTATAAATGTTCATTGAGGAACTTTTCACATTTTAAACTCTTCTGTTTCCTAGGCTCACAACCTATTTAGATGTACAGCGGTGCCTAGAGTATTTGGGCTACTTAGGCTATTCAATATTGACTGAACAAGAGTCTCAAGCTTCAGCCATTACAGGTAGCTATCTAAATACTAATTAGTAAAAAAACTAGAAAAAATGTTAAGATTCAACTTTCATATGTAAAAAGAGTGAACATAAATATATATTTGCTAGTCTTCTATATCTACACTCTTATTTGTTTCCCCTGTGATTTGATGCTTTCTTTTGAGTTGAGATTGTTTGCTTTTATTATTTATAGAAAAAGGAAGAGCAGAGATTTTACTTCTAGTTTATTCCTGAGGGTACCCCAGTGATGAAAATCAGGGAGAGCCACAGACATTAAAATATCATTTGTCTAGTGTTTTAATTTTCTTCGAACATTAAAAACAATGCATATTAACACATGATCCTAATATTGAACTGACTGTACATCTCTCATGTTTGTAATCATTTTTCACATAAATTTTTCACGGATCTTGTTATTCTTGCCAGGCAGTGTCTTCCACTTAAAACCCATAGGCATGGAAATAACACATTAGGGAACTGACATTTAAAGTCTTTCTTATATCGTAATTGGTTGGGGGAAAGTGCCGTATTTTACAGGAAACCCCAGCACAAGAAGACAACCAATCATAAACTGACAGAGCAAGGACCCTTTAACCAATTAGTATTTTAGTTCATCATCAAAGAGTAGGGAACCAATTGCTAGCCAGCATGAGGTTTATTTCGTGCAACAAAATACTGTGGACATTTTTCTGTATCACTAAATAGACTTTTATATGTCTTTAATGCTAATAATGTGTCATCATATGGATGTTCTACACCTTAACCCATAACTATTGTGTGTTATCATTTTCAGTTTTTTGCCTCTGGTGAGCTTTGTTGCAGTTGAATCTTTAGCTGCAGCTTAAGGAGGCCTCTTTCCCTCAGGAAGAGATGCCCCATTGCTCTGGCCTGCCTCTTTCTCAGATTTACATTAGAAAGGCCAGTTAACCCCAAAGTGCATATCCCTTTACCATTTATAGATCCAAAGGAGTGCAGATTTGAGAGAGCGTCTTTTAGTTTGTAACTTGTTATGACAATAACTTATCACAGAAAAAAAATAGGTGAGACATAATGTTGGCTATGTTTATTGTAATTTTAATTCAGTTTTAGGATATGATTTTCCTTATGAAAATGCAGTACTTATTTTACGATTAAATAAATTTCATTTGGTTACTAGCCAACTTTCAGAAATGCATCTTTTCCACTGAGGCCCTTCTATATTATATTTAGTACTTTATTTCACATATAGCTTGACTGTTGTACAATGTGTTTATTGATAAAAGTGATAAGTAGCAATACTCTTTTGGAGAAGAAAGTAAAATGGAGGCTCAGTGAGTCTAAGTGGTACATAATTAGTTTTTTTTCTTTTTAGTAACAAGAGATAAAAAGATAGACCTTCAGAAAAAACAGACTCAAAGAAATGTGTTCAGATGTAATGTAATTGGGATGAAAAACTGTGGGAAAAGTGGAGTTCTTCAGGCTCTTCTTGGAAGAAACTTAATGGTGAGAAGTTCAGAAATTACAATTTTATCCGACAAATATTTATAGTCACAAGTGTGCATAATTTTTTTTTTATAGCCATTAATCTTTCTAGATGATTACTAGAACTCAGTGACCTGTGTATATTAGTAAAGTACAATCTAAAGTGCAATAATAGCCTTAGCCAGTTTGGCTCACTGGTTAAAATGTCAGCCTATGGACTGAAGGGTCCCGGGTTCGATTCCAGCCAAGGGGGCATGTATGTCAGTTGCAGGCCCCATCCCTGCATGTGGGTGACAACCAATTGATGTGTCTCTCTCACATCAGTGTTTCTCTCTCTGTATCTCTCTCTCTCTCTCTCTCTTCCACTCTTTCTGAAAAGCAATGGAAAAAATATCCTTGGGTAAGGATAAAAAATAAATAAAAATAAAATAAAGTGTAACAGTAATCCTGTTGAACTGGCTTTATCTTTGTTTATTTGTTTTCAGTATACTTTCTTTTTTATTGCATTTATTGGGGTGACATTGGTTAATAAAATTACGTAGGCTTCAGCTGTACAGTTCTACATATATCTGTATATTATATTGTAATGTGTTCACTCTATCTTGTTTTGATGTTAGCTATCATTTGTCTTTTTAAAAAAAATATATCTTTATTGATTTCAGAGAGGAAGGGAGAGGGCAAGAAAGAGAGAGAGAAACACCAATGATGAGAGAGTCATTGATCGGCTGCCTCCTGCACCCTCCCGACTGGGAGCCCACAACCCGGGCATGTGCCCTGACCGGGAATTGAACCTCGATCTCCTGGATCCCAGGTCGATGCTCAACTGCTGAGCCATGCCAGCTGGGCTGTCTTCTTTTTTTAAAATTTATCTTTATTGTTAAAAGTATTATGGATGCCCCTTTTTTCCTCCTATTCACCCTCTCTTCCCCGCTCCTGCCTCCTCCCCAGGCTTTCAGTGGTCATTTGTCTTTTTTTTAAAACCAGTGTTTAGCTGAGGATTGAGTGAACACATATGTGAGAGCCCTAACAGTGCTTGGCATGAAGTAAATATACAGTAAATACTTCGAATTGAATCCTGAAATAGAATTCTGACTACTGCTTTGAGTAAGGAGATGGACGTACTTCCTGATGAGTCTCGTATCAGCTGAAATTGTAGTATAATGAGAACTGCCAGCAGGCGGCTCTGGAGTGCAATTTCAATAATATTGTTTACTTCCTTTTCAGCTACTGCTTTCACTTTGTGCTGAGCAAATGCATCTTTTGTCTTAGACCTTAAGAACTAAGAAACAAAGTCAATATCCCCTTTGTACTGATAAATAATACATAGTGTAGGAAGAAGGCCCTTTTATTTATGACAGACCCATGTGTATACATATTGACAACTAGTTACTGTAATGTCTTACTGTAGATATTTGGTTGTTTTCAGAGGCAGAAGAAAATTCGTGATGATCATAAATCCTACTATGCGATTAACACTGTTTATGTGTATGGACAAGAGAAATACTTGTTGGTAAGAAGTTCTCTGGCATATAAAGATTATTACTTATTAGGTATATTTTTAAGAGACTCTTTGAAAACTAATTGGGTTTAATTTAATGGTTATATATAGAACTTCTGTGTGATTTTTTTCCCCCCACTTGGTTTATTCATTGGAATTAATTTTAATTCCCTTGATATGCATGGTGATTACATGGGTATACCTATAAGTAAAAATTCATCTGTGTGCTTAATTGTATGTTATACTACAATAAGAAAGTAAAAAAAATAATAATTCCTCTTTACTTTTTCTTGCACTTTTATTTTAAAAAATTATCCTCTACCATTAATTACAAATTAATATGAAAACCTTAATGCAGGTGCTTGATAGTATATCGATAATCTGAATCGAGTTTTATCTATTAGGGAAAGAGTATAGTTAACAAATGTGTGAGCCTAAAGAAAAAAAAAAGAATGGAAGAAGGGTGTAACTGAAAAGATACTATGAAATGCAGTGGAAAGAGAGTTTATGTTCTGTTTTGACCCAGTCACATTTCATTTTGACCCCTGGTCCACCATTGATGAGCTGTGTTACCTCAGGCAAGTGGCTTACTGTATCTGAGCCTGAGTTTCTTATTAAGATAGCTAATATTCTCGTATAAACAAACGATAGGTACTAGAAAAAGTTTTTTCCCTGTCTTTTTCTTTTTTGGAAGTAATTTATCCTGCCAAATGATAACGTGAATCTTATACATATTTTACTCTTTGTGATAAAAGTTCTTTGTCAGTTTCTTATTAAACCTTATTTATCTCCTGTTCTTTCCCTGTAAGTCTAGTTCTACTTACAGTGTACTCAGTAAACACTGCTGTTAGTTTTCCCGTTCTAGTCTTACACTGTTTTTTGTGAATCAGCGTCTCTCTTGCCTGAATGTCCGAGTGTGTTGTTTGGAACCTGTTGAGTCACTTCTCACTACACTTCCCTTTCTTCTCAACAGAGAGGCACTACCTTATAGAGCTCGGTACTTGTTGGATCATTGAAATATCACAGATAAGATGTTTCCTTAGAAGTGTTTGGTTAACATGGGAAAGTGTAGGCACTCAAGCAGAAGAAGACCGTGGTGCAAAGGGCTCTTTGCTTTTTGGTTTTTGACTGGTGGGGGAGATCAGGCTGTGTGGTAGGATGGAAATGGACTTGGAATCATATCTGTGATGAAATTTTGGCCTCATGAGATTTGTTGGGTGTGTTATCTTAGGCAGTTGACTGAATCCCTTTAGCCCTGTCTTCTTATGTTTCGAACGTAGGGAATGCAGGGAGAGGGCCTGCCCGGCACACTTTAGTCGCTCAGTAAACAGTAACTTCTGTAGACCTTAATCACCATTTTTAATTCACAAAATCGGAAGCTACGTGTGTATCTGCACTTCCTACTTCTAAAAATGGTCTGAAAATGTATGCCTAACTAGTATTTTTTAATTAGGAAGTTAGGTTAAACAAGTAGTAAAACATTATGACTTTAATTCCATGCTGGTATTCTGACATTTATGTTTGTCATTATCTTTTGCTTTTTACAAGTTGCATGATATCTCAGAGTCGGAATTTCTGACTGAGGCGGAGATCATTTGTGATGTCGTATGCCTGGTATATGATGTCAGTAACCCCAAATCCTTTGAATACTGTGCCAGGATTTTTAAGGTTTGTTGCTCTTTTGGTCTATAACTAAGTTTAACTTTATATGGAGTTTAATGGAATTGCAGTGTGGTATTTTCTAATCAAGAAAATCATTTATGGAGCTTTTAAAAAAATACTTACACCTGTGTCCTGTCCCTAAAGGTTCTGGTTTTATTCTGAGGTGGTAAGGTTCCAGACGTCTGTGTTTTTAAAAACATTTTTTCCATACATGACTCTGATTTGCATTCCTGGTTAAGAACCTCTGTATTAATGGAAGTTCTTAGCTGTTAGGAATGCACATGGGTTGTAGTTGGCAGCTACATCAAGGATAATAGTAGAACAAGGGGGAAAACCAGAGGCTTGAAAAGTTATTAGTCACTTTAAGATTATCAACAAGATTCCATTGGAGTTACCAAATTAAGATAAAATAATCCAGCTGACTATTAAGCATCCATTAAAATGGTTGTGAATCCTGAAAACATGAGAGATTCAGTATTGTATATTTTTAAATGTTTATATCTAGCATGACTGCAACTATATAAATATGTGGTATATAAATACATATGCTTAAGGACTAAAGGTAATATGAAAATAGTGTGCTTTTGGATAGAGGAATTTAAGTGGATTTCTTTTTTTTTCCTTCAAAATATCATGTCTTTTTAATAATTTTTTTTTTCAAATGTAATGAATCTAAAGAAGCATTATAGGCTATATTGTTCCCAGCATTAGAAAAGTGGCCCTAATCTTACTATGAGACTGACCTGGACCACTATTGGTGCTTTGCCTATCCAGAGAAAAATTTTAGTACACATTTAATTAAACAGTAATTTTTGAACTTGTCATCAGATTTTGATTTTATTTTTTTATTCTATAGCAACACTTTATGGACAGCAGAATACCTTGCTTAATCATAGCTGCAAAGTCAGACCTGCATGAAGTTAAACAAGAATATAGCATCTCACCTGCTGATTTCTGCAGGAAACACAAAATGCCTCCACCACAAGCCTTCACTTGCAATACTGCTGATGCACCCAGTAAAGATATCTTTGTTAAACTGACCACAATGGCCATGTACCCGTAAGTACTTGCTCTGCCATCATTGTCATGTTGCATGGTTCATTACAACATTGCATATTGCATGCCATTATTAGCCATGAGGGTGGGACCTTTGTCCTGTAGAAGTTGTTCAGCAACAGAAAGAGACTTTGTAATGAGAAGGTACAAATTTGAGTAAATGCAAGTTTGGTTTGGGTGTCATAATAAAATTATATAAACAGCACTTCTGACAGTATTTGTATATTTTTGAGCAGGTTGTAACTATCCTAATAGGATAGTACAATAAAACTCAGCTCTCTACCCAGCATTTAAAAAACAAACAAACAGTCTAACTGCAATAAAATGGGGTTGACATATATTGCTTTATGCTTATAAGGCATTTCCATATGAGCAAAAAGTTCATTTTTATATTTTTCTGTTGATTAATTGAGCTTGAGTGTGTGAAGGATTCTAAAATCTTTTATGAATTTAAATTATGGGTGTGTTTGAGTTCAGGATATAATGTCTTTTTTAAGTGCTGTAAAAAGTAGTTGTAATTGGAATTCCTGCTATATAAATGTTTTACATTGTGTTATGCCACAACTTTTATGTACATTTATTGTATATGTATCTATACATGCATATGCACAGCACATAACTGTGGTCATCTCATAGTTTACTGCCTTAAAATTGCATGGTTCTTAATGGCATTCTCCTCGAGCACTGTGTATAAATTCTGTTTTGTAACAAGATAGTTTTTCAGGCAGTGCGTTTCTCAGGACTTTATAGTTTATTCTGTTTAAAATTGTGTTATTCCCTAAATTATTATTCTTATGAAAACTGCAGTATGAAATAGAGTAATCAAACATTGCTCTAAACAAGTTTTTCAGAAAGTTGTTAGTTTGTTACAGATTTTTCAAGTCAGAGTTAACTTTACTGCTATTCCATTAACTAATTAATACTTTTGAAAAACTGCAGTAAACCCTTGAAATTCTATTTATGTTGGAAAACAATTCATTTCTATTACTATTAGATAAGCACAGCCTTATTTATGTTTTACCTTTGCTTTAAAACTCTCGTGTATGTATCTGCAGAGAGGATCATTACAGAGACAGACTCTCCCGAGACACGGGCAGCACTGATAGAATAGAGAATTTGAGAAAAATCTGGGTCTTTCTAAAAACTGCTTTGTAAGTTACTTTTTCTTTATGGCTTCTGTGGGATTTTGTTGACATTTTCTTATAGATGAGCAAATCTCCTTTCTTACCATAATTAACATTTAGTAGTTATCCAGAAACGCACTGCTTGGTCAGGCTTACTGCCTAACTGTATATTATGATGTCTTTTTTTTACTGTGTAAATGCACTATTTTAATCTTGTAAATAACTGCAACTGTATTTTTAGATCAGCATCTTTAAAACATTTTACTGTAATTTGTGTGTGTGTATGTGTGTGTGTGTATATGATAAATGTACATACTTGGACACTTGTTTATATGGTTAATCCCAAACTCCTTCTCATGAAGCATCTCCCTGTTGCTAAGCATACTTTGCATCCCTCCTTTTTGGTGGGTGGAGCCTGTGTATGTTCAACAGTCAGATACAATTTATAAAAACAGATGGATTCCAGTATGACAGCTGGCAGTGACTTAGTAGCAGTGATATGTTCATCATCACAAGTCAAGTTTTAAAAAGGAATGTCTTGAGCCTATGAGAGTTTTTTAAAATAAATTAATCCTTGTTTTTCTTCATGTTGGGAATTAGGCATTATTGGGATGCTGCTAATCTCCACAACCATGCCACTTGTGCGCTGTGGTCTCACCAGATCTCACAAGCTAAGCCGAGTCAGATTGGGCCAGTCCTTTGACTGAGAAGCTGTTAAAAAAATGTTCAGGTGTTACAGGAAGTGATGGCACTGATTCATCATCAGGTGGCGCTCTTCTGAGGGGGTTCTGCGCCAGTACCTCCTCAGGGGTGGGGTGGTAGCTTTGTATGTCTGAGTGGCTCTGACCACTGAGCAGTCACTGGAGACCCCCAACTTTGGTTGCTAGGGCGGAGGTGAAACGGGTTGTCCCATGTGCCTGTACCAACTAGTGCAACTCCACTCAACCAGAAAGGAGTCAGAAAGCCTCCCTAAATTTCGTATCTAATACCAATTGGATCGTTGTTGATTTTTACATCCTACCCAGAGTTTCCTACTATCATACTTAGCTGCTGTGTTTTAGTAGCAGATGAAATTTACCCTGTTTTGTTCAAGATGGAGCCCTTTGATTTCCTTTGGGAACCAAGGTGCTCGCTAATTTAAAGACGATGTTGTTCATATCTCCTCAGCGTTGAATATACTCGTCTTTGGATTGTTATGCGTGTATTTCACTCTTCTCCTTCCTGGTTTTCAGGCATGTGTGTATGCTGAGGGAGGAAGAGGAGGAGCAGGGAGTGGTTATTTAAATGTTAGCAGACTTTGTCCATTTGGTGGGTGCTATGGCTTACTCAGTTTTTCTTTTTATTAATTTAGACGAGGGTGCCATCTATTGCTGTGCATATTTATTCCACTAAAACTCTTGTAATAATAATTCCATCCCCCTTGTCCTTAGATCTTCTGCAGGGAGGGAGGTGGGAGCTGTGATGGTTCATGATATTTTTGGTATATGTGGAATTCTGCACAACTTTAGCATGCCCCACACTATCCCTCTCCTTAGTGTTGCTTATGCCTAAATTTTTTTTTTAAGTTGGCACACCCTGACTTGTGCCATATTTGTAAGTAAGAACTCAACTCCTGTCCTTCTGTGTGTTTTCGCAGCCATGCCCGGTTACGCTGTATGTGCACCTGCAACAGGTGTACATTTTGCATCTGTCAGAACTTCCTCAACTCAGACTTGCTGCAATCTGTAAAGAACAAAATCTTCACTGCAGTTCTTAACAGGTTCTTAACTTTATTTACTGGGTACCAGGCATTCTGTTAAAATACAAAAGAGAAAAGTGGATAACTATTTATTACACTGATACTTACAAAGACAACGAGCTGACTGATGCCCAGCTATCTCACCATGGTGACAGTGTTTAGATCTTGAGTCATTCTTAGTAACGTCTTTAAATTAATAGATATATTTAGGGGACTGTAAGATTTTAGTTTTTTCATTAAGGAATTTAAAGTATTTTTCATTTTAGAGGATAATATATAAGGAGATTAAAATCTTTTGGCTGAGAGTTGTAGAAGTAGATTAGGACATTCATAGTAAGGAAAACACACGTTGACCCCAGATGTTATAATGTATTTAGGTTACATTAAAATAATACAACTTCTTAAACCCATACCAATGTGAAGAATATCTTGGGTTTGAACAAATTATCTATTATAAGTACCTGGAATGTTTATTTGAAAGAGTACGGCTTATGGAAATAAGGCTAATAACCAACCTTAAGGATTCAGAGGAACGTGGAAAAGAAAAATCTGTAGTACTAGTTTTTGAGGTCTTCACAATTGAGTCCAAAACGTGACATATGCCTAGAAAGTAATATGCTTTGAAAAAGGAAAGAAAAAAAATAGGATATACACGTGCTCTCAAAGCAATGCACTTGGGAGGTTCTTTTCTTATTCTGGCCATGCTGCCTTTGTTCAAGTTGATTTTACATTTTGTGAGCATTTAAGAGCCGATGTAATATTAATTTGTATCTAATGTCAAATTTTTATGTGTCTAAGAATGAAAGAGGATTTTGAAATCATTTAGATGTCACTAAAATGGTAAATGATTTTGAAATCATTTAGATGTCACCAGTGGACTCCCACCAAGGACTAGGCTCTGACTGTACCAGATGAGTAGGGTAGTTTGTGTCTACCAGCTGTGAAACAGACTGTACCTTATGCAAGCCAGAAACGGACTTGGAAAGCTTTCTCAAAGAGTTTTGGTGAGGTTTGGAGCACTAGCAGCTCTGGAATAAGAATGCAGCCCTCTCGGGTGACTGCTTTGAAGGGATCACCATACTCACTTGGTGTAAAGTTCTGCCTCTGTCCTTCGAATGGCATCTCCTAAAGTAGTAATACAGATTCTCTCGTGACGCCTGTCTGAGAAACTGCAGGCTAGTTCAAACCAAACAACATTCAGGAGCTCTGATTTGGAAATGGTCGAGTTGGAAGAGATTCTAAAATTCTTCTGGCCTAACCTCCCATTAGAATGCCTTCCTGCAACCCTTCTGGTGAGAGTGCTGTTGATCTGCTGAAGGCTTTCCTCATTGGAGAGAGTTTTTGCTTTTGCTTTTTATTATTTTTCAACTAAAATGATTTCCCTATAACTTTCTTTCCTTTAGTTTTAGTTCTGCCCTTTAGAACAACATACGACTATTCTACTCCCTCTTCAACATAACAATCCTTCAGACATTTGAAGACGGCCATCATGTCTCCCCTAATTTTCTCTTCTCCAGGTAGAACATCCCCATTTCTTTCAGCCTTTTCTTAGATTTGATGGTTTAGTGACTTCATCATTCCTGGTTGTCCTCATCTCAAAGCCCCGTAGGTTTTTAGGGTACCTGGGTAAGTGCTCCAGGTGTGATCCCACTAGTCCAGAACAGCGGGCAGTCATGCTCCACAGTTAGGACACCTGTTTACTGCATGAATTCACTTTTTAGCGGCCCCATCCCACTGTTGATGCATATTAATCTTGGGGTTAATTAAGATCAGATTTTTTTTTCTCTCATATGATGTGCTAGTAAGGCAGTGTCTCCTCCTCTCTGATTGTGTATTTGCCATTTTTAGTTGACTCTGAATCTAATTGCAGATACGTACGTATCTCTATTAAATGTCACATTCCTTTTGGTCCATTTGTTCTAGCTCAGTCATTTCAAACATTATTTTGCCATTTGTCCCATTCTATATCTCTCTCAACATTGTGTTATTTGCAAATTTTGAAGATGTCTTCTTTATCTTTCCAGTTGTTGATAAAAAAAAAAAAAAAAATGTTGAATACCCAAAGATTGAGAGAGAGAGAGAGAGAAAGAGAGAGCGAGCTAAAGTGAGCAAGCCCTATAGCACTCCGCTGGAGAACTCTTCCACGTGACACAGGCTCCAAATCCTTGGGGAGAGATTATTCTGTCCATTAAAAATACTGAATTATCCAGTCGTATTTTATCTCATTATCTTAAGAGAGATTTCATGGAGGGCTTTTTATGAAATCACTATATAATTTCTGCCACATTCCTCCTGCCTACCAGCATAGGAATTTTATCTGAACAGGAAGTGACATCTGTTAGGGGCGGTATTCTTGGTGAACCCACCTTGGCACCTAGTAATTGCTGATCACAGACCATCCATTTTATTTATTCTAGAAGCTCTTGGTTGTCCAGAATTGCAGATTAGTTTATTGTCTGCGTCTTAACAACAGTTTTATTCTTAGATTGGTTTAGTCAGCTTTCAAACGAAGTAGGTTGGGTGTGCATCATTGGAAAAGCTTGCTCGTAGTATATTATTCTGTACAGTGATCCTCGAAGAGAAATCAGTCCATTTTGCCATATTTATTTGTAAACTAGAAATTATTTAATGGTGATGTCAAGATACATCACTGATACCCCGTAATCAAGAACCGAAGGAATGAAAAAGATGCAGAGGGAAACCATTGTACCTTTCAAAGAACTCTTCCTGATCCCTGGTAGTATTTTAATAGCTTAGTTTATAGAAGTACAGTGGAAATTTGAAAGTTGTATATTGAAGTTTTTTCTAGTTTTTAAGAGGATGGAGATAAAGTTGGTGGGGATGGAAGCCCAAATTAAGTGCCTATAGGGTCTGGATGGATAATGTAAATGAATGAAGGTGGCCACATATAAAAAATAAGAGAGGGTGGGGACTGTGACAGGCCGTGTCTAAAAGAGGCCCCCACAGCTCAGCTCTGGTGTCTCCAGGTGTTCTGATTCTATGAGACTAGACTAAAGCAGGATTTTTATGTGAAATTTCCTGATATTTAAATAATAGCAAGTTAAAATTTTTAAAAGTACAAATCAGAACAAACAGAACATCTTTTTTACAGGCCACCAGTTTGCAACCTCAGCCTTGGGATATGGCTTAGAGTTGTAAAAATGCACACACACAAAAGTACACCTGGGGAATGAGAGTGTCTCCTTCCCCCTTCCCCCTTCCCCGTTTTACTGCTTCCACGTGAAGGATTTGAGAAGGTTACAGGATGATGGGATGAGGGAATCACCTTATGCTAGTATTTCTCAGGTTTTGGCAGCCTTTGGTGGCTGGTCACCGCTGGTTTGCCATGTATGTCTTAATGTTACATAAGCAAAAAGGATTGATTGATTGAATACAAGCCATTTAAGAATTCAGCAGGGAGGATTCTCACTCAGCACTAACACTAACTCTTAAGTTTTTGGTTTTAGAAATCCACCATGCCTAGTATTTGATTTGGAACTGTAAAAGAGCAGTTTTAAAATTTTGATTTAAGCAAAAAGTTTCATCAAATGTCCACAAAGCATTTGGTAGACAAATATTGGTACATGCATGTTGTTCTCAAATTAGTGCATGGAAAAACTTTGATTACTGCATTAGAAATTACTTCTAGACATAACACATGTTTGGGGCCACATTCTTCTCACCCTCGCCCCAACTTTGACTTACTTGTTCAAATACTTAATTTAAGTGCCTGCTCTGGATAGGATTTGCTGTGAGCTGAGGCAAAATATGAAGATGAAAAAAATAACGGACCTCCCTTTTATTAATTATGGTAAAATTTTTTTTCTTTAAATTTTGGTGGTATTTTCAGTGACCTTAGCCCCATGCTAAAAAAAAGGAGGTGCTATAACCTGACCATGAGAGGATTTAAGCCTTTTAGTTATTTTATACTTAGGCAATTTTAATAGATTCATTTCTGAAATTGTCCATTTTTCCCTAGCTATGTGTTTTTGACCAGGAAAGATTATCTTTTTTTTTTTTTTTTTTTTTTTTTTTTTTGAGCTTATTTACTGGCAGTACAGATTTTAAGTAGAAAGCAGTAATACATTTTTTCCCAGCTTAATTGAGTGTATATTGACTTCAACAAGTAAGACAAGTGTTAAACTATGTATCTGACATGTAACTTTGGTAGTTAGGGCTTGCCCTTTAGGGCTCGAGAGGTTTATGTTTCCTTTAGAATAATTTAAATACATTTGCAGGATGATTAACGTGGTCAGATGATCTTAATCTTTGGTAATGCTTTCATTTCGAATAGTGTAAATCATGTTACTGGGGAAAAATAGCTTTTGATTATATATTTATTTTTAAATACCTTTTTAATGTGGAAGTGTTAAAATGATTATGCAGGCGTGAGCTTGAATTGTTGGTTTGAACTACCCAGGATTTCAGTTTATTTATTATTCTCACTTCAGAACACTCCTACTTTGTATGAAGATTCTACTACGCTGTAGTGTGCTATGAACTTTAATTTGTCCCTTCCTTTAGGTGTTCACTTTCATTTGTCTGTGCCACTTAGTCATTTTTTTAACTCCTCTCGGTCCCTTTCCCAGCTAGTTTTCTGTGTACGATCCACTCCTCCTAACCTATAATTCAGTCACCATTGTTTATTTTACAATTCATTATTTTGGTGAGATTTTCTTTGTTTATTTTGGATATAGGATTTCTTTTATTCCATTTTATTATTTGCATTAGCCATATAAATTACGTGTTCATGTTACTTCTTAAGTTTGGTAGCAGCATTTTACTTTAGCAACCAAGTGCATAGTTCACACTGAGTACTTACAGAGACCCAATGGTATGATGGACTGTCTTCATACCCAATGTAATTTCTGCCCTATTTTTACTGTATTTTTAAAATTGGATGTATATGACACTTAAGCCATTCATTAATGACTTACTCCATTTGCCCATGTTGCTTTTAATAATCACCTAAGTTCCTCTTTACATAATTTAAAATCATGTCACTTAGTTTAAGAGCCCCCCCTTTTCTGTTGAAGAAAGAATTTTACTTTAGTCATACCAGAATGAACTACCTTTTCATAGGATTGCTTTATGAAGAGGATAGGTTCCTAGAATTCTTGATGTTACAGAGATTCTGTTGGGAATGTAGGAATTCTTAGGATATTATGTTATAGTAAAATATTGTATGCAAGGAAGTCTGTCCTGTGTTTAGTTTCATATGAAACTTCTGTATTCCTTTGTGTGAAGGTCCTTACAAGGCTTTTATTTGAATTTGGATACGTAGGTCATATGTTTAAAATTATACAAGAGATTGTTATAGATTCTCATTAAGTATGCTGCTGCTTATAATTTAAAATGCCTTTGCCATTTGGTTAGTACATTAAAGGACACACAAGGTGGAGTTTGCCTATTTCGATCTTTAAGTATCAGTAGTTATCATGTAGATATTATGTTTCCCATGGCATATTTCCCATGTATCTATGATCATCTAAATTTTTATTCTTCTAATGCTTGGTAAAGCATTATTTTACATTGATGCCCACCTGTGTCCTTTCCCAAAGTATGTTACTATTCAGGCATGCTCAGTTAATGGCTCTCTTAGGACTTTTGTGTTCTAGTTTATCTTTGTTGGATACATACTATACTTTGATTCCTATTTTGAGAAATATCTTATATTAGAATATTCATGCCTACTAGTTCAATTAGGAAAATTTTCATTATTAAAAGTAGTAGTAGTACAGGCATTTTTATTTGAAATAAATATTTTAAAAAATACTTCACCAGGCAGAAGCATTGAGAACAATAAAAGCAAGAAGGTTCAGAATTTTTTTTTTAAGTGAGTTATTAAAAACAGAAGACTATAGTTTTGGTGACCTCAGTACAGTTTTCAACTTAAGATAGGTAATTGAAATAGCAAAAAGCTATATGTAATACCTATGAGCCTTAGTCACTCTAGGTTACATGTATGACCATTATATAGACTATTTCAGAGTATTAACTTAAAACTCCATACCTGAGATACATATATGGATGGAATTATAAAATTGGAAGATCATTCATATCTGTGCATTTGTACACCTCTGAGGTGTGTTTGGAAAGGGTAAAATGAGTGAGAAAAATGAAAAGTAAGAAATTCAGACTTATTTCTGACAAGCTGTATGGGAGGACTGGAAAGGGTCTGTGTGGAACTGCTCTTCCTAAAGCCTCAGCCTTGTCACCTTTGAGTATATTCTACTTTACTTTTCTTTCCTCTGCATAATAGCCTGCAACCTGAGACAAGGTTAATTGATATCTGGGTCTCACTGAATTCTTCCCCCTTCCTCACATTCTAATTTTTGCAGACTTTTAGATCCCTTTAATAGAATTTCCATACCCCAGATATATAAAGCCCTGTGACACCTTATAAAAAACAAAATTAAAAATACCCTATTTGGGAATAGCTAGGATGGGTTTAATGCCGTTGAGCCCTTTAGGATTTGATTATTTTGTGTTTCTAAATTTCCAGTGGATAACATTCCCTTTATTTATTGTTGGTTAAATACATTGGACCAATAAAGATTTTGGGCCATGTTCTTATATTCACCACAAATGTATGCCTTCCTTAAGGCATTCTGTGCAAAGGTATGTGGAAATTTTGGTCACTCTGTTATATGCCTGGTGTAGCTTTTCACCAAGACATTCTTTTTATTTTATTTTATAGTTTTTATATGTTTTTATTGGTTTTTAAAGAGAGAGGAAGGGACAGGGATAGAGAGATAGAAACACTGATCGGCTGCCTCCTGCACACCCTCTACTGGGAATCAAGCCCACAACCTGGGCATGTGTCCTGACCGGGAATCGAACCAGTAACCTCTTGGCTCATGGGTCAACCACTGAGCCACACCGGCAGGGCCACAGAGACAATTCTTTATTTAACTCTTTATTGCCTGAATTTTGAAACATTTCCTCCTTTGTGCCTTATTAAGTAGCAGCCTTAATAATACCCAAGTCCAAACATATTGATCGGCTCCCACACCTTTCAAGAAGCACTTGTCACCTGATGGGTATGGGCCTTCAGCACTCCCCAGACAGAAAACCAGCCTCCAGAACACAAGGGTTTTCCACCTGAGAACTTGAAAGCTCTGACAAGCTTCACGTGATTAAATTTATATTTCAGCAGTTAGTCATTATTTCTTACGTTCTAAAAAGAGACGCTGCTGAACTAAATTATGTTATTCCAAATAGAGTAGGAAAATGTGGTGACTCTGGTATATCGATAGATTTTTTTAAAAAGAAGCTTTTTACACAGACTCACACACACATCTTTAACCCTGTAATATTGATCTTGGGGAAGTCTTTTAAGGAAGCTCTCCTAAATTCAGAGAAATTTCTTATGTAGAAAGGTACTCATCACGTCAGTCATAGTCCCCCGTGAGTGGAGAATAGGCACCGGAGACGGACACAGCGTGGCCCCTTAGAATGTGTGGAGAAGTCCTCACCTGGTAGTTTTCTAAAGGATATAAAATTACATAAATTATACACGCCGTGTTTGCAGCTAAGTGAGAAATACATAGAAAAAGTCTAAAAAGAAATATCCCAGATTTTAATTAGTTGCCTTAGGTGATAGGACTGTAGGTGATATTTTCCTTCCTGCTTTTATTTTGCACATATCTTACAACGAGCATGTATTACCTTTTTAATACTAAAATACTTTAAGAAGAAAGAAAAAGTGTGCAATAAGATAATTTATTCTAAGATGATATTTTATGTGAGTCATTTTGAAAGAACCATAGTTTTGAATTGGGGAGGAATTATTTTTGCCTGAATTTAGAATTGAATTGGGAAGCAGCTTTATGAAACTGTTATTCTGCTTCTACTTGGGACCTAAAATGATAAACATGACTCAGTTCTTAATACTTATGGAATACAATTAAGACGGCACTATTCTTTTTTTTTAATCCTTACCTGAGGATGTTTTTCACTGATTCGGGCTGGGGGTGGGGGGGAGAGAAACACCAATTGGTTGCCTCATGTATGCGCCCCGACCGGGGTCAGACCTGCAGCCCGCCTATGTACCCGGACCGGGAATCGAACCCTCGACCCTTTGGTGCACAGGACGACGCTCTAACTACTGAGCAACACCAGCCAGGGCGAGATGGCACTATTCTTTATTCAGGTGTTGTCAGTTAGCTAAGCAATGATAAATGTGCCATCCGTTATAAATGCTTTCTCTTCTATAAATAGAGCCCAGTTAGTGCCGCTTTTAGATTGAAATAGTTCTCTAAGTAGCTTGCTATCTGTGTGGTTTTCCATGTCTAAAGTGCCTGAAACAACTCCTATAACATGGATGGAATCATTAAAATATATTTTATGAGTTAATAGTTGCCTTAAGTTTTTAACTAGCTATATCTTGAGCATGTATCTATATTGTTTGTCATATGTACATATGAACTACTGTTTTGCCTATTCACGGCTATACTACAGC